TCTGCAGGACCTTTTGCTTTGACTCCTGGAACTCTCTGGGCGGCTTCTGCCTCATGCCGTGGAAAATCATCCAACTGAATTCCATTCCTTCCTCTGGGCTTGGAATGAACTTAATACCCGGTTAGTGACTCACATGCACGCTATCGTTCCCTGTCAGAGTTGCATGGTCACTAACCCGAGTTTTTCTCTCTACAGTGATTCCAGCCATCTAGTCCTAGCTGATGAGACGCAGATTACTGAGCAATTAATAAACGATTTTTATAAATCACTTCGGTCTGTCTGCCTGAATTCTGGGTCCAAGGTTCTGAATCCTGCAGTATCTAGTTTTAAAATGAATACATTTCCAAAGAGGGCAGATATTTGTGCTCCTATCGGGCTCTCTTTATGATTTCTCTAAGTCTTGCACCCTTCTTTAAACTTTTTAAAACCACTGTGTCTTCAGTTTCTAAGGCCCTGCCAACAGCAGCTGAACCTCCTGAAGATGCTGCTGCTCGACTGAAAAACGACTGAACGCCATTCCTTTGGATCAAACTTCCCTGGGCTTTACTGCCTGTAACTTGAATTTAAATCCTTCTTAATTAAGCCATGAAAGACTATCTCTTTGCTTCCCTAGAAACGTGAACTTTTGTCAGTTTGGGTTGTCAGCATTCAGATTTTCATATTTCTTCTTAAATTAAATATCCCAACCTGCAGCCTATTAGTGGCTCCTTGCAGACATATTCCTGCTCTTCTCAAAAAAAAAAGAAAAAAAGTCTTTTGTCAGCTATTTAACTGTCAGCACAGTTTTCTTTGCTCTGTCTTTCCTTTAAACTAGCCTGTCTGCCTCTTAAAATAATCTTCCAGGATTTCTGTAAATTCAAGCTTTAGTGCGTTTTGTCCCCTATCCAGCTGTATGTGTGGTGAACTTTGACTCTCGGAGCTCAAGCTTTTCCTTCATCTGCTCGGTCTCCTCAAACAGTCCTATTCATTGTTAGAGAAGCACATTCAGCCAAAACTCCTCCAGAGACTTTGTGCCGCATAGCTTCCTCTGTTCCACTTTCTCAATCTGTCTCCTGCATGCTTCTCATTTTTTTCTCCTCCATCTCTGTATAATCTTCAATGTCAATGTCCTATATGTATTCAGCTCAGGTTATCTTTAATATATCCTGAAAAACTGTAGATTATATGGTTTTGGAAAATAATTTTGATCGTTTTAAATAAACATCATAAAAAATTGTGATTCAGAAAGAAACATTTTTCAAAAACCTCCATTTTGAACATTCTATTGACTTTTTCTGAATTTCTGGAATTCTTCCAGACAAAAAAAATTAATAAATGCTAGGAATAACATACTATACATTTAATGCCAGCAGGTTATTTTCTGACTTTATTGAAAGGTTTTGATCTTTAAATATGGCAGTCTTACCACCACCATAGTGTCTCATATCAACCTTTTATTTCAGTCATGAAACAATTACCCTGTAAAAAATAACCATAGCATTGCCTTCCTTCTTAATAGCAATGAAGTACACACAATTTAGCACTATATTAGCAAGGTTGCTCCTCATATATGCCATGTAGGGACCACATTGATTGCATAATCAACACAGATGCATAATCTCTAAGGCTCATTCTTCGCCTTTACTCATACTGCACCTTTTCAAATGAGAGGAATCCTAAGTGCTTTAAACCACATTAGGCCAATCTCCGACTGCTGGTGGTGAGCTGAACTGTAGTCACAGCTGACATGGGGCACACTGACAGTAGCAAAACTGCAATGCCCAGGCATCACTGGGACCTAAGACCATCCATCAGTGCATTCAGTTCACTCCTCTCTTTACTTCCTGTTTTCCCTTTGTTTGTATTTTTGTCACTGTTGTATCTCTTGGGATCAATTATCCAGTTTCTAATTATTTTTATCACTTATGCTAGTTCTTTAAAGTACTTGTTTGGTTTAGTAATTTCCTTTAACCTTTCACAGGTGATTCGTGCTTTAATTGTTACAGTAGTTACCATTTTGTAATCGGTTCCCCTGCTCCTTGCTTTGTCATTGCTGCCTGAGCTTAAATGCCTCTGCTCAGTTGTTGTGTTACTTGTTCCTCCTCATATAATCTGTCCAATCATGTTCTGGGTTCGCTTTCTGCTGTCAGTTAGTTAGCTTTTCATTTAATAAAATCAGAGGTAAAGTATCTACGTGTCCATGCCTTTGTTCTAACCTGTTTTTATTGTCATAATGCCCTTTTTGTTGGGGTTTTGTGACCTATTCCTTTCCTGTCTTCAGGTAGACTTGACTTCTGCATTGCAGTTGTTTTTCAGAGTGCACAGGTTTGCCCATATTTTAATGCTTTTACCCTCTCCTCACTAGCTCCTTGTGAGTCCCAGAATCAATTTGAACATTCTCCTGCTGACCTATAAATGCCATAATGGACTTTCACATCTCTGACCTACTTCCGGCTTATGTTCCTTCTTGCGGGGCCAAGATCATTGGATTGGCTATTTTCCGATTTTCACAAAAAACAAGGATGAAGCTCAGAGGTGATCAGGCTTTTTCATTCATGGCTGCAAAATTCTGAAATATTCTCCTTTCCTAAACTAGACAGGCTTCTCCAGTTTTGGTTTTTATGCCTCTTACAGAAAAACATCTGTTTTCCCTAACATTCGACTCAGGGTGTGTTGTTGAGAGTAATGTATTACTCTGTGTTCTCCAATGACGTGGTTGTTTAAACGCGTTTTATTTTACTTTTAGCCCCCTATTTTTCAACTTTCAACTCATTTCTAACTGACATTTCGATGCAGAATGAACCCGAAAAGAACTTATATTTCAACCATAGTCATGAAACATTTAGTTTATGATTCAGTATTCTTTTCAAACCATTGTTTGGTAGCTTTATCATAAGACAAAATCCACTTAAAGCCACAGATTTGGAAGCCTAAAACATAATCTGATAATCTAGGTTAAATCTATAACCCACCTATTTTTTGCAACTTTAACCATGTTTTATAGTAGGACCCAAAAGGGTTTTATAACCCACCACATTTTAGAGTCTGTAGTTGTAAAGTATAAATAGTTTAATGTTACGCCTTAAAAATGTGCTTTAAACAATTTAGATAAGTCTACTACTTAAAGTAAATTCTGTACAAACCTTTCAATATGTTCCATAATGACTTTGCAATAATCGCAAAACAACTTAGATTTATCACACCTTTATTCACTTGTTCTGTTTTTCCCCCCCACTAATTCCCATGTTATTATTTTATTTTTATTATTTAATTCAGGGACTCTGTGTGGAGCTCCCTGCTGTTTCTAATTAAGCTTCGAATATCTACAACACAAAGTAGCCTAGAGATAACTGTAACAATCCCTGTTTGTAGAGTTTGCAAATATTTACTGAAATACAAACTTCCCAGAGGGACTTATTCTCACCGTCTGATCAGTCCTGCTGTTAGATCTCTCACTCATGAATAATGCACGAGATCTAGATGTGGCCAAATGTCACTGCATTTGGGCCGTTTTCTCTGACTGTATGCATGTCTGTTCTTGCTCTCTCATACTGTACTTGCATTACACGGCTGAAAAATAAAATTAAAGATAAGCCTACAACACAAATTTACGTATGTTCACACACCTATGAAAAATGTCCAAATTTTCATGTTGCAAATATGCAAGCTTTACTCAAATAGTAGATTCATCTGAAAAAGAAAAGGCAGGAGATAAAAGCAGCCTGAATTCCAACCATGTCAAGAATCCCATCTTCTGAGCCAGATCAACTAAAAACAGACCTCAAGCTTAACCTCATGAATTCCAAACGACTACTGCAGCCCCAAATACCACAGATAACCCATGCAGGGGTGGGGGATATCCAGGGATGATCAAAGTGTAAAGAAAAGTGATGCTTCAGTCAGCATCACAGGCTTAATACATTTTCTTTTTCTTGTTAAACAACAATTGGTTTCTCTCCCGCTTGGTTTGCCAATAAAGAACAATCATGGCTTATAGTTTGGAGAAAGAGATGATAGGATCCACAGACAATAGTCTTGGCGGTTTATTCATTGCTTCTTTCTTTTTTTTTTTTCTTTTTTAACATGTGAATGACACAATCTCCCAGCAGCACACCTGAATGCACTCAGAGCCGCAGCAGGGGTCAGGCACTCTGTAAGCGGGGCTGTTATGTGATTCTCTCAGATATGCAGGGCATTAAAGTGTGTCGATTTCAAAAGGCGCAAATTGGGACGACGTTTCAAAGGACCTGCAAAATGCTTATGATAATTGACAGTGAGGTAAAATGAGCGGAGACCCACGCAGGCTGTCAGAAACTGTGATCCAATTGAATAGAAAATATTAGACTTGTTTTTTTTTTTTTTTCATTTTTGGTCAATGGCCAGCGAAGATAATGAGCTGTATTGCTTTGATGTGTGTGTGTTTTGTGTCATCCCCCTGGTAAAGCGTACTTTTACACCTTCCTCTCATATTCCTCTCTTAATTACCCCTTATGCTTCAGAGTGTAGCCTACTGTAGCTGCACCTTCAAGTTTGATACTGACACAGTATCTTTGAGCAGCCTGTTTACTCTCTGTTTATTACCATGCGCATGGTGAGTCATACAAGATTTTAAACACAAACTAAACCTTGTTTTGTTCTCATTACCCTGAGAGGACACTTCCATTTTTTCCTCCCCCCTCTAGGGATGCAATCACCCAACTCATCACCACTACCCCATTAAAAGCTTGTTCCTTTTGCCTAGGTTTGAGAATGAATGCCTCCATGAATATTTGCCCCACTCTTACATTAACCTTGTTAACTGGATGCAGCAACACAGTGCAGTGTTTAAATTTCCTGATTTTCTTTCCTCTTCTCTTCCATCCTCAAAGTACTGTTAGTTTTTTTTTTGTAAAATCCCCTTTTGCATACCAATTTAGCTCCTTTCTTTGCTCATGTTGCCTTTCACCAAACTGTTTGCAAACTTCCCAATATAGGCATCCACATTTTTTTTCTCCACACATAAAAGAAAAATAGTTACATACCTCAATATATGCAGTTTTCTTCTCTTTGCTCACTTTGTGCAGAAATCCATCCCTTCTTCAGGCTTGCAGCAGGGTAAAGATCTCCTTCCCCTCAGATTTCCCCTGTTTCTTCCCGTCTCCCTCTCAGTCATTCAGTGCAGAAAGGTTTCCCAGCTGCAGTGGACGCTGACAGATGTGGGTCGTCTCTGTGAATGGGGATACACAAACAAATGGTCCTGCCTAACAGTGGCTGTAGTGATACTGCCTTTTTTCCCCTGGAGAAGTGCTGGAGAGGAAAGAAGAGGCAGCGTAGTGCTCATTCTACTCCCATCCCCTCTCTGTGACTCTCTTGTCTCCACCCTTCCCGCTCTCCTCTGCTTGCTCATCACCTTCACAATCTCACCAACAGTGAAATCTGGTGCCTGTGCTCGTTTCTCCAAAGTAAGGACACTGCCTTTGCAGAAGTATTTTGATATTCATTAATGTGACAAAAAACTTTAATGATCCGTTTGAAGTCCTGCAAGTAAGATAGATTACTAAAATCTGAAAGTGTGTTGTGCATTTCTACTGTATATTTTTCTATAGTTGATCCAAGCAAAATTCTTTTGGATCATTAGCTCAGATTGACATTAAATGTAGCCATTAAGCATTAAAGACAATAACATACCCTCAATATGTAGGCATGTTTATCATTATAAAACAAGAACACAACAAAATAAGTTTGAAGTTATATTGGGTTGTGTGCGTGTTCCCTTTGTTTTTCTGAGCAGTGTATAGTCATTTTGTAAAGCAGCTACAGTTATTCTTTCTAAAATGTTTAAGCTTTTCACTTGCCAATGCTTTTTATGTTAACCTCACAGTATTTTTTTTTATCTTGTAGAGATATGTTTTTCCTCTCTGCTGTGCAGTTTAATGTTATTTTCTTTTTCTTTTTTATATTATTTAGTCTTTTGCATACCTGTAAGCTTTCTTTAACTTGCTTTAGCCACTTTCAGCTCTGAATTTCCCCATTGTGGTACAATCAAGCTGTTTCTCTTCTATCATTTTTATCGCTTTTGGAGCAGATTCCCAGTTGGATTTAGATTTAGGTTTTTACTAAACCTCCCTAGCTTGTGATTATCCTTTAATCTAAACCATTCAATTTTAGTTCTGTCTGTGTGTTTTGAGTGACTGTTCTACTGAAAAGTGAAGGTCTGTCTGAGTTTTAAATTCAATTTTCTGCAGCCCCAGGATTGACCTGTATTTAGCTGCATTCATCTTACTCTGAACAACTCTGATCAGCTTCACTGTCCACCTGAAGATGAGTTTCAGTGCATCCTGATGCTGCTACTAGGTAGGTGTGTTCAATTTCATGTGAATTGTTCTATCACACCTAGCTCTTTCATATGTAACTAAAAACATATACATGTATATGGTCTCACAGATTTGTGGATTGTGAATCTGTAGATATCTGCAGCTCCTCCAGAGTTACCCTTCGACCTCTCGTATAGATAATCTATTTAAAATTTTTAGAACCTGTCTGCCAGTTTAAAGGGTTGCAATTTTTTTATACTCTTTCCATATGTCTACGTATAACCCCAAGGCCCGCAGGCTGAATCTGGTCCATTACAGCAATTTATCCAGCTCTTAGGAGTCAAAATAGGTGAGCCATGTCATAAAATAGAGATGTATGTACTTTCAAAATGTACAAAGTGGGTAAAACTAATAAATAAAGGGAAATAATTATTATAACACCAGACAAGTGTATTCTTAGTAAATGATCAAACATGTTGTCTATGCAGCTGCAACCTTCCCTTTTAAAGATTGCATAAAGCTGAAGTGACCCAGAAAAAAATATTTTGACACCCCTGTCTGTGTGATTAATTGAACAGAATTCTGTGAGACATTAAAAGCCTATTATATTTTCATAACCTAACCCTGCTATAAATTATCCACATCCTTCTCTCTGACTTGTCTGCTTTGCTCCTTGCTCTTCATGATGCTGTTAGTTACTTATTTTTTCTTACAAGCCCCTAAAGCCCTCATTGATATTAAATCTACCAATTAGGTAACTTTTAAAAGTAGCCGGTTGCAGAGTAGAGGAACATAAATGCAAAAACATCATGTCACATTCCCAGAAACAAATCAAATTCAATTAAAACACATTTAAATGTTTTATATTAATGTAGCAAAAGGTGGAAAAAAGTGCTTAAGCACTGTAGATTGAAAAGGGCAAAAAAGCTCTTCAAATTTTACATCAAAAGGTGACTGATACTCAGCTGCAAACGTAGCTCATTAAAAGTCACTCGAACAAACATATGCCTCAAGAAGAAGAATCAGTGTCCAATAATTCTTATTTCCTGAGATTTTTCATCCCATTCAACTCTTGACTTTTCACTTTAACAATCGACAGCAAGCTGTCAGCTAACAATGTAAATTCTTTAAACAAATATTTTTATATGAGCTAAAAGTGCAATATGTCTTTTATGAATCTTTCACACTTTTTCCTCAGCTGTCCAAATAAAGATCATTCTATTCTTAACTGTGTCACTTATTGGGCAGAAAAAAAAAAAAACAGAATGACATTTCCCTCCCTCTCTACTAAGCTGTCAAGGTGTGCAGATTTATCAGGACAAGTTTTCAAAAGTATAACAGGGGTTCGATCCTCAAGCGAGTCTGGTGGCTGTCACAGTTTCTATGTGTGTTGCTTCCAGAAGCCAGTCCTCCTCATGCTCCAACCCAAACACCTGCTACAGTATAGAACTCCACAGACCTGACTGACATCCCCGTGATTCATTGCTGCTTGAAAACATCCATCAGAAAACTTTTTTTTATTTCCCTTATGACATTTCTTCGCACATGGAGCTTTTCTCCCTTCTAAGAAGGTGTTGATTTAAACTGTCCAGGCTGTTTCCTGCTCAGTCCTTGTAGTTTTTACCTTAGTGTATGTTTACATTTCTTAAAGCCCATCTCTGCTGCTCCTGCCAATCCGAGTCTTTTTTGTTATTCTAAGCTCAGCGCCATGTGTGACACCTGGTGTTTTGACTCTTTCCTTGACTACTGTGGTACTTTGTGTTAAAGCTATTGTTGACATACATACATGTTGTGTTCTCTATGGCAATGTTGGTGTGTTTATTTAAAAACATAATAACTTTACAGCTGAATAGTTTGAACCAAATTTTTAAAACAATAATTTACATACTAAGTCTTTAAAATACAACACAAGTGTCTGAATTTAGTTTGTACTGTTTATATCCTGCTATTTCACAGCCAATGTAACTTAAAGATCCTTCACATTAAAAGCTGGGTCTACTTTGTTTCCAATTATACTTTTTTTTTTTTTTTGGGGGTTTTTACGGCACTAGCGGCTTGTCTTTTCGACAGTAGGCTGACAGGAAAAGAGGTAAGAGAGAGAGGGAGAGACATGCAGCAAAGGACCACAGGTCAGATTCGAACCCAGGTTGGCCGCGTCAAGGACTAATGCCTCTTTAAATGGGTCAGGTGCTCTAACCACTGTGCCATCTGCATGCGCCCTCACCTCAGTATATATATTTATTTATATATTTTAATATATACATATCAATATCAGTACAATTCAGTCATTCTAACACATACTGTGATAATGATAAATATAATTCAATACAGTCTAATGCTGTTTAAGATGCCAAGATGTCAAAAGTATCAATTTAGTAAAGCCAAGGGAAATGCATCGAGGCATTGCCCTCTCAGCAATTCCTCAAACAAGAAGATAGCAACAGTGGGAATGAAAGATTCCCTTCCTTTCTCAGTCTACCCCACTTTTCAGCTCTGGAGACAAGAAATTTTTCCCCATTTAGACCTGCATGTTGAGAATTATTTGGTGGATTCACTAATATCGGCTCAGAAAGAGAACATAAACAAACACACAAATCTAAAAACCCAATCCAACCCTCCGAAGCTTCCCTAAACATTAACCTACTTAAACCAACAACCTTGAAAAGCAATTTGAAATATTCAAAAATAAACAAGAATTTAGCATTGCCTAAATAGAGACGAAACCTTCCACTAGAAATGTGTTTTCTTCTTGGTTGCTGGAATCCTGAACTTCATCATGTCTCCCTTGCTTATCAAGCAGAATGAAATTTGTAGTTCGGATTCTTTCAATGGGCTCTTCTGACAAGCAGATATGTAAATACAGTTTAGATGTTTTCTATTTTTAGGGTTTATATTTATTAGGGAGAAATAGTTATTTTATATTGATTTTTGAAGTTAGCATGTAAAAAAAATTGCAATTGTGTGTACATCTTAAATGCACTATACCTGAGTGTAAAATCATTCCCATATTAAGGGCTGGGTATACTCCCGCAGCAGTGTGTCGCAGTGAGCGTGTCGCAGATATTTTTGATTTATGCCCAATATTGAAGCGCTGTCTGCACTATGTTACTCCACGCCACAACGCAAGAGGGACAATCAGGAACTAGCTGTGGGTCTAGATACGGCCGAGGCGGTGAGGAAATGGGGGCAGACGATCTGCCGACCTCACACGCAGACGACCTGGTTTCTGAGTATAAATCAGCCTTTAGGGTGGACTTTCGGGCACAGTAAGCATATATAAGAGCTTGTATGAACAGCAACTTTAAAACAGAGCATGCACAATGAGAAATAGGCTTGTTCATGCTCTAGCACGCGTTTAATAGGCGTTCCCACTGGGGGAGAAGGTACAAGGTTTTGCATGTGCATTTTTCTTTAAAGTGAGAGGGCGGGGCTTTTAAAAAATTCACGAAAATCATCCATTATGCCTTAAATGGCAAAGCAGCAATTGACAAAGCAGTTGTGGTTGACATAGCAATACCAAATGCTTGCAATATCAGGAAGAAGCACTATGAGAAACTGGAGAAATACCAGGGGCTCAGACAAGAGCTGGAGAAGATCTGGAAGGTCGAGGCATCATTTTTGCCTGTGGTCGTTGGGGCACTCAGGGCAGTGACGCTCAAACTGGAGGAGTGGCTAAAGCAGATCCCTGGAAATACATCAGACATATAGGTCCAGAAAAGTGCACTTCTAGGAATTATACTGCACAGAACCCTCAAGCTCCAAGGCCTCAGGTAGAGGATGTGAGCTTGAAGAAGAAGAAGAGCGGCTGTCCGTGGTGAGTGAGGAAGATTTTTTCTTGAAATGCATTTGTTCTCGAATTGAGGAGTTAAAATAGACATTTTGCCAGTGGAATCAATACAATTTACATTTAAAATAAGCAAACACAGTTGCATTGTCTTATTTCAAGTTCATTTTATTTAAATATCTTCTTTTAAGAGTAAAAATACTCATTCCATTGGCGGATCATCTTATTTACCTACTTAAATTAAGGGTAAATACACTTACTTTAAGAACTTTTTATATGAGCG